AAAAAAAAAAAAAAAAAAAAAAAAAAAAACTTGAAGAAAATCCATTAATGCTATGCCCATGATTCAGATGTAGACCTACAATCCGGTCGGTTTTACCTTGGACACAACATTATAAGCTGTAAATGTTCAGCTAAGTTGAAATTCAAAACTTCTTGATGAAGTCGTATATGTGGGTGCTGATCTCCTCTGGCTTTGCTTGGTTGATAAAGTGAGCTACACCTTCCACTATAACCACTTCCTCCAAGGAGGGCACATCCTTCTTGAAGCCACCACTTTCTATATATTGCTTCACGCCCGGGAAATGATAGGTGGTGTCTTCATCGCCGACGATGAACTTCGCTGGAACTTTGACTTGTGCTCCGGTCCATGGAGCTAGGAGCTCCCATGTTCTGCAAAACCGGAAAGCAGTTATAACTGGAACTACGATCTTTTATTGAAATGAATGTGAATGATCAGTACAGTAGCAATAATTTCGAGGGATTGCTAGACCTCCCCTTGCTTGGCTAATCTACCAAGACTTCTCAAAAGACAACTCAAAAGGCCTGTTTAATTCGCTGATTCGAGTTGAGACGTGACTTTATGTGAGAACTTTTTACTGTAGTAAAAAAGTTAGATGTAACTGTTTTTTAGAGCTTTTTACTGTAGCAAAACTTAAAATTTTAAACTCAAATCGATGAAATAAACGGGCTAAAAATCTTTCCTGCCTCCTAACTTCTTCCACTCTCTATTCACCCCCTCCCCTTCATAACCCCCTACTAATCTTTAGAACCAATTGTAACCAACTGTTTCTCACAGGCTAAGTTAGCTCTAACCACCTCTAACCAACTAACAAACAATTACACTTAACACTTTCTCATTCTTGCTAACAAACACCTGCCTTATTCAAGTCTCATTCTTATCAGTATGGTAGGAGGGAAAAGTATAGGGTGCGAATATTAATGGGTGGATTTTTATGATTTGTTTGGCAGGACAGACTAGCTAGTGAAGATTGGTTGAGGAATTGAAAAACTGCTTCAAAGGATCCCAATTTTGATCCCTCCCAATACAAACGGATTAGGGGAGGTAATTCTTCTTTTTCTTTCTCTCCCCTCATATTAGACACCATAAAAAATGCCTTTTCCTCCCTCTCTAGTTCCCTCACCGATGTTATCTATCTCTCCCCTTCCTATTATCTCCTTTTTTCCAGCCAAAGATGGCTTTAAACTACAAATAAAATGGAAGGAAGTAAGGACTTTAATTACAACCTTTATGAGCAGCCGATGAGTTCAAAGTGTCAGCCTCATCTCAAGATCAATAACAACAAACAACAACAACAAATACAAGCCTTAATTCCAAATTAATTGGGGTCGGCTATATGGATTTCTCGTTTCCAGTCTACTCTATTAAAACACGAGACCCTCCTGAAGCCCTAAATCTTGAAAGTCGTGCCTAACTACGTCAGTTCAAGTAATTCTTAGTCTACTCCTCGCTCTCCTAGTACTAGGTATTTGGATGTTCTCCCAAACACGAACAGGTGCATCTAACAATCTACGTTGTACATGTCCGTACCATCTCAAGATCAATAAAAGGGAAAGGAATTACATACAGGTTAGCAGCTCGGTAATAGTTCAATCCTCCGGTGAAGCCCTTCTGCTCAAACTTACTTGCACTATAATTGATGTCTTCTTCCGACAGCCATGAGGGCAATGTATCTGGAGCTTTCAAACCTTTGAATCCTAATTCTTTCGGTATGAAAAGATGAGTTGCACCAAAAGATGTATAAAGTTTCTTGAGTACTGTTGCGGTGTCATCAGAAGCAAAATCTTTCTCAATCTCTCCTGGTTCCTACGGTGCAATTCTACGAGTTATAACTCTACAAATATCAAATCAGATAATGGGAGTTGAAGATTATTAATGAAGTACTGAGTTTTTGTTTTTGTTTGTTTTATTTTTCCCTGCTTGCTTAATGAAATGATTCGGAAACCTCCCCTTGCAATATTTGATTTAAACAGCAAATGCGATAACCAAATCGCCAATCTTGTCATATGGATGAAAATCATGTTTTCGCAAATGAGTACATGGTTTATGGATAGAAAAAAAAAAAAACTTTGTTGCATGTCAAAAATAGACCATGTATGCAATAGTACCAATTCTACCTTGATCTAGATAAAAATCTCCAGTGCAAGGAAGATCACCAAATAGAAGCAAAACCAATAAAACAGTGAAATGAACGATTCGTTTAAGGATAGAGTAGTAATTTGACATAACTTTGCAATAATGAAAGTACCAAAGGTCCAAAACCAGTGTCCAATCTTTAACGGTGGCGCCACAAACAAAAACTGGTGTACTTTTTGAAGAATTAGGTGGGTCCGAAAGAATTATTGGTAAAGTACAGTTATAAAGGGACGTTTGATAAAGAGATTCGTTCCTGATTCGAATCATGATTCGTGATTAATTACAGTATTTTTTCTCATAAAAAATACACGTAAATTAAAAATAATTCGAATCACATGTTTGAATCCTCCAACCAAACGATTTATCAAAATGTATTCAAAATTTGACGTTCAGAATTTTGTCAAGCTGTGAAGTTTTTTTTCTTGCTCCATCAAAAAATTAAGTTCCTTTTTCCTTATTTTTTTTAACAAATAAAAGTGCGGTAACAGAAACCTCAAACACAAACACAAAAACAGGTTACCAAAAAGATTACGATAAAGAAAATAGTTAAAATATATTTTTTTAAAAATCTACACAGGCATAGGTCTAAAGCAATATCTGCCAGACTTCTCATATGGATTATTCTGGTATGTTTGTTTTTTTTTTTTTTCTTCCTTTTCAATACCCAAATTGCAGGGGGACAAAGTGTTTCCTTATTAATCAACTTTTTCCTTTTTTACTGTTCATTGATTTATGGATCTTAAATTTCAAACCACTTTTATTTCTAAAATTTGAGTTGTATAATCAATATTCCCAAAACACACGAGTCCTAAACACCAAAAGATTCAAATTCCAATTCAATCACCTGAAACCTGCAAAAGTAGAAATCATCACCAAAAAAAGCCCTAAACCCATCCACGAGATTTATCCGCGGATTCCTCGGCATAAAAGCGACGCTGAGGTTGACCACAGCCTTGATCCTATCGGGCCGGAACAAGCAGAAGAACCAGGCCATGTAAGCGCCCCAGTCGTGGCCCACCAGGAAGACCTTGTCCAGGCTCAGATGGTCGAGAAGCCCAACGAGGTCGCCGACAATGTGGTGGACGGAGTACGACGCCGGAGACGGCGGCGCGTCGGAATCGCCGTAGCCGCGGAGATCGGGAGCGATGCAGCGGTAGCCGAGGGCGGAGAGAGAGAGCATCTGGTGCCGCCAGGAGTGCCAGAGCTCGGGGAAGCCGTGGAGGAACAGGATCGCCGGACCCGTCCCGATGGACGCCACGTGGATGTTGATCCCGTTTGTGGTGATCGTCGAATGCTCGATTTTGTCCATGCTCCTGCGTGTTCTTATCTCTACTTTGCTTGGATTTCTCTTTTGGTCTACTCTTGTCACTTCTGTACATTAAGGAGTAAAGAGATTGGACATTTGATGGTTTCTTTTAAAAAAAAGAAAATTACGTCTATACCTAGTTGATTTTGTGAATTTAAAATTTTAATTTAAGTTAAAATGTGATATTTTTTTAGAATTATTTTATTATAATAAAAAAAATAAAATAAATGTAATATTTTTTAATAATTTTTTATTATAAAAATTTAAAATTAAAAATTTAAATTGATGATTGGAGTGAAATAATCGACGCCATAATTTATTTCTTTCACGTGTGTACAGATCTGCAATGATCACGAAAAATGGGGGCATTACCGTGTGTGAATCAGCTACGAAAACCTCTTAGAAAACACATTTTGAGAGATTAAAAAATATTTAAATAGATATATAATTTTTAGCATTTAAAAAATTAGACTTTAAAAAATAGGTGCATCACAATGTGTTTCCATACATATGTATATATCATATAATATATTATACTTAATATTATATATTATAGTATATTATATACAATATATGTATATGAAAAATAGGATATAGTTAACTAGAGTGGGTAAATGTGAAATAGGGTCGAGGATCTTTAATTCTATTTATGCGCTGCGATCAATGACAGATTGAAATTTTAATTCATTTTAATCCGACCTCATTTAAACCAGATTTTTCCTAGTCTATTTAAGGCAGGTCCCCAAGGGTAGATTTAAAAAAAAATTACATGCCTACATGCAAGTGATATTTTATACCAGAGTTGAATAATATTACATATACTTGAGTTATTGAGAAGAAAAAAAATGTTTAAATAAGGGCATATTTGAAAATAATTAAAAAATATTTAACAAATCAAATAGAAAACAAATTAGGGTGTACATACAAGAAGTAGAAAAATGTTTAAATAAGAGTACTTTTAAGAAAATTATCTTAATTTAAAAATGATTAATAAAATTAGTCAAACACAAATTTAACATACATATTTTCTGTACATCAGAGTTGTTCACTAACTCTTTGTTTGGTGAGATTTTGGGAGTTAGTTTATTGTAGCATGAATGAATTTTCTGAAAGAAGGTGGTTCAGTCTCACGCCCTCCTCTCTTTGATGGTTCCAATTATTCCTATAGAAAAGCTTGTATGAAGGCATTCATCAAAACAATTGATGAGAAGACGTGACGTGCTGTATTAACTGATTGGACACATCTCGTTACAAAAAATGAGGATGGGAAAGAATTCATAAAACCTAAAGAAAAATGGTCTTCTAAAGAAGATCATTTGATTAATAACAACTCAAGAGCACTAAATATCATTTTCAACGGAGTTGACGCAAATCAATTTAAACTCATTTCAACATGTGAATCAATTAAGGATGTTTGAGAAATATTGCAGACAACACGAGGGTACGGCTGCGATGTGACTATCAAAACTCCAAATCCTCATTACAAAGTTTGAAAATCTTCATATGCATGCAAATGAAACAATTTATGATTTTAATTTAAAATTGTGTGACATTGTTAATGAGACATTCACTCTTAGTGAAAAAATTTATGAGAAAAAATGTTGACAAAGACATTGAAATTACTTTATAAAATATTTGCTTATAAAGTGACAGTTAGTGAAGAGATTAAAAATGTACCGTTAATGAAGCTTGATGAACTGATGGCTCTTTACTCAGTGAAGCTTGCAGTCAATAAAGTTATCTACACATATGTATATGTAAGCAATAGTCTATATCCCCACTTTTTCACCCACGAATTTAAAAAATTATGTGTGGATAAAAATATACTTTAACCACACATTTTTGTCACGTCAGCAATCCTATGTGTGGGGATTTTCGCCGCCATTGAATGTTTTTTGGCGCCAAATATGGTGCTAAAAAATGTCTAGGTAATTCCAGTATGCTACACATAAATATATGTAAGTAATACTCTATTTTTCCACCCTTTCATTACCCACACATTTAAGAATTTTTGTGTGGGTAAAAATATGCTTTACCCACACATTTTTACCACGCCAGTAATTCCACGTGATGGGATTTTCACAGTCGTTGAATTTTTTTAAAAAATGTGTAGGTAATTTTAGTCACCTACACATACATATGTTACCTACACAGGTACACAACTAAAAAATTATCTGTGGATAAAAATAAGTTTTACCCACACATTTTTGCCATGTCAGCAATACTTTCTCTGGCATTTTTGCCGTTGTGCAATTTTTTGGTGTCAAATTCGGGCGTCAAAAAATGTCTAGATAATTCTATTCACCTACACATATGTGTAAGAAAAATTTTAATTACCCACAAATATCATAACTAAAAATACAACACGTCACAAATAAGTCGGTATCTAGAGTTGTTCTTTTGCAATAAAATTTTAAAAAAATTTAAATTCAAGTTACAATTTTATTTAAGTTCACGTTCTTTTAAATTATAACTTTATTCAACTTTACTCAATTTTATTCAAATTATAACTTCAACTCAAGTTATAACTCAAATTCAACTCAAAAATTACACTCAAGTCACACTCTAAAAGAACAGGTCCTAAGTAACTCAAAAACGCCAACAATTGATCAGCAAAAAAAAATCAAGCCAAGAAATTAAAAAGTAATCCATTTTTTGATCTGGACGGAGAGAGGAATCATTTCAATAGCTGCCTTTCTTTCGAACTTGTTCTTTCGCATGGATGAAGTATTTTGAGATAAAACCCAAAACTAAAACTTCATGGGTTTAGGTTTAAAAAAAACAAATATAATATGAAGCGAAGTATTTTGAGGTAAAACCCAAAACTAAAACTTCATGGGTTTAGGTTTAATACAAACAAAATATAATATCAAGCGGAGCAGCAAGTTGTTACAAATGATATCAAAATTATGATCCACTAGCCAGTAGGACCAACAAGAATTTCGTGCCCCGAAAAATGTGGGGTGAATTATGACCACTACGCATGTTGGGATGCATCTAGTCCGGGGTTTGGATACTTGTCTCCATCCATCAGTTTCATTCAAAAAGGACTGCCATTCTTGCTATAATTTTTCCTGATTTGGTACAGAAAAGTCAAACTGCTTCGGCCATAATTTCGATATACACGCTATTATTAGAAAAGACGTGTATGGGACCCTCATCTTATAAGAGGCTGCTGCTGTATCAGTTGTCAGTTGTTACTGTAATAGTTCCTTGAATTTATCTCGCAAATGATTTTTAAAGTTTACCCGTAATATTATTTTAATTTTTAATTTTTAAAACATCTCAATGTTAATTTTTAATATTTTATTTTATTTTAGTTCTAATCTTTTTATTATTTTAATATTAAATATTTGATAAAATTTATAAAATTAAAAATATATAAAATTTAGAGATAAAAATAATTTAAAAAAATAAAAGTTAATTTTCACAAATAATTTCAAAATCTTAGCTGTTTCAAATTTTAATTTTTAATTTATACAGATTTCATTAAATTTTAACACTTAGTTAACGAAATGACTGAAACTAGAATAAAATAAAATCTCAGAAATTAATTGTGTGACGTTTAAAAAATTAAGGACTAAAATGAGATTAAAAGTAAACATCAAGAACTACTCAAGAATCATTTATGAAATTAACCCTAATTTTTTAAAACTTTCACACATATGATTGTAATTCACAGAGCTTGCTGCTAAAATTCGTAATTCTTTATAACTAAACTCGGCAATAATTATTGGGAGCTAAAGAAATGCTAAGATCACTCATAATATCACGTCCTTTTTCACTCTAACGTCTCCTTTTGCCACTTATTATTTAATTATTCTAAGAAAAAAAACAAAATTCTAAACCATCCTTTTACTTAATTACAGAGATACCACTGCATGAAGCCAATTAATTTAACACAAGAAGTTATGATAATGGCGTTTAATCAGTTTCGTCATTTTTTTTTTTGTAATAAATACTGTTTTGTTGACTCTTTTTTACATGTAATATTCTTGACCTTGTATAAATGTCTTTTATTTTGGAAATTCTCATTATTTAACTTATTTATTCATAAAAAGATCTATTTAACCTATTTACTAAAAAAAAAGCAATTGTTTGTTTAAACTCTAGCGTTGCTGTACTGCAATGTCTGCAATGATTTTATTTTATTTTTTTTATAGAACAATGAGTGTATATATATATATATTTTTTTTTTTTTTTAGATTCTAATAAAAGTTTAATATTTTAACATATAGAGCTTATATGGTAGGACTATAAAAAATAAACTATTGGTAATTTTTTTATTTAGAGTAATTAAATTTGTATTATAAATTATTTATTATGCATATTTTTTTAATTTAATATGATTTTGACATGATCAAATAGTGACGGTCTGAAAAACCGTCCTTTCAGAGAAACTCCATTCAACATAACCATTTAAGAGAAAAATAAATGAGAATAAAAAAAATAAGCGTGGCATTATTATAAAGTTAATAACCTTTTTTTTTTTAATTAAAAGGCTTAATCTAATGGCATGGTTGTAATAAAGCGTAAAAAGATGGTTGAAAATTTTGATTCTTTTCCTTGGAAGAATTAAAGACAATTAACAAAAAGAGAAGTTAGAGAGTGACATTTAAAGTGAACCGTCTTATGAAAATTAAGAAAATGCAAAGAAGAAAATTTTAGAGAAAGAAACTAGAGAGAGAGAATTTTATTAATCTTATTAAAGTGTACAAAATGAAAAATTTTAGAACTCATTTATAAGAAAATTTTTAACATTATTCACAGTTATAATTTATACAGTATTTACTATTTACGGTTACTATTTATACAATAAAAATTTTGATATGAACAGTAATTTTCACTGATCTACATAGTAATTTTAACTGAAGTTGACAGTTACTATTCATAACATACCTAACATTTTTCAAGGGATTATATAATAGCATATTAACCAAAAAAAAAAAAAAAGATTATATAATAGCACATGAATATATAAGTAGAAAAGAAGTTTGGACAACACATAAATGCAGACAAAAAATGAGAGTCTCTTTAAATCTCTCTATTTCGATTCCAATTATTGAATACCATTTTCAAATGAGTATGTTAAAACCGCATTTCTTATTTGGATAATATGAACTCATAGATTTTTGCTATTGGGAGTAAAATTAATTGGGATGCACGTCTTTCCTTGATACTAATTATTAATAGTTATTCGAATATTTACCTAACAATGGGTATAATTATTTTAGTGATAAATTATTGATTCGACAGTTGTAATAAATTATATAATTAGACAAAAAAATTAATAACAACTAATAAAATTAGATTCTTATCATGACAGATTATAAAAAAATTAATTCATATTTAGTGGTAACAAGTTATGAATACGTAACCATTAAAATAGTTATATATATATATATATATAGATATATGAACACAGTACCAAGTGGCTTATAATATTTTTTCCCTGGTCAATCAAAACGGCTTACAATATGATATATCAACAATGAATCTAGGTGATGGAGGCTAATATGCAAAGTAAACGATAACGACTAAAACAGGTGTATATATAGAACCTTTTCTAAGAAATTAGCAAGAACGAAAAAAATTCTCTTCAATGCTTCAAATCCCATCCATGGATCTTTCTCTTCTTTCCTTTATAATCTTTACCTTCTTCCTCTTCTTGCCCATGGTAGTCAAAATAGTGCACAACCACAAAACAAAAAATTCTGTTGCAAAATGCCCCCCAGGACCATGGAAATTACCGCTTATAGGAAACTTGCACCAGCTTGTTGGCTCATTACCTCATCACTCTCTTAGAAACTTGGCCAATAAGTATGGACCCCTCATGCACTTACAGCTTGGTGAACTTTCAAACATCGTCGTTTCTTCACCGGAAATCGCCAAACAAGTCATGAAAACTCATGACATTATCTTTGCCAACAGACCATATCTTCTTTCTGCCAAGATATTGTCTTATGATTCGACAAACATCGGGTTTTCCCCATACGGAGAGTATTGGAGACAGCTTCGGAAAATTTGCTCCATGGAGCTATTAAGCGCGAAACGTGTCCAATCGTTCAGATCAGCAAGGGAAGAGGAAGTGCTAAATTTCACCAAAGCGATACGCGCGAGTGAAGGTTCATCGATCAATCTAAGCGAGAAAATTTCTTCCACTACTTATAGCATTACAGCAAGAGCGGCATTCGGTAAAAGATCCAATGATGAGAAGGCTTTCATATCCATAGTTAAGGAGATCTCAGAGGTGGCTGCAGGGTTTTCTTTATCAGATTTATACCCTTCGCTTAAAGCCTTTCAACTGATCGGTGGAATGAGGCACAGACTTGAGAAACTGCACCGAAAGATTGATGGGATTCTTGAGACTATAATTGAAGACCACAAGCAGAAAGAGAAGGGAGTGATATCTGATGGTGTAGATGCTGAAGAAGACTTGGTTGATGTTCTCCTAAGGCTTCAGAAATGCGGTGATCTTGAACATCCTCTAACTGATGGCAATATCAAAGCTGTTCTCTTGGTAAGTATAAAATCGCGATTGCGCTTATATACTTCATATTAAAATATTGTCTTGATTAGCTTTTCGAACGATGAAAAACGAAATAGACTACTGATACAATTCCATTAGGACTAGTACAGCCTAAGCATATTCTTCATTGTAGTTTGTTTTGAGAAATCATTAATACATCCCTAGTTTACTTACTTGCAATCAATCTTCTCCAACAATGGTCTTCATAATTTTGTTTTTTCAGGACATTTTTAGTGCCGGGAGTGAGACATCATCGACGGCTATAGAGTGGACAATGTCTGAACTGCTGAAAAACCCGAGGGAGATGGAAAAGGCACAAGCAGAGGTAAGAAGGGTTTATCATGGAAAAGCAAACGTAGACGAAACAAGACTTCATGAACTCAAATTCTTAAAAGCAGTGATCAAAGAATGCCTGAGGCTACATCCTCCTGCTCCTTTACTAGTTCCAAGAGAGTCGAGTCAGAGCTGTTTTATCGACGGATACGAGATACCCGCGAAAACAAAAGTCATCGTCAATGCATGGGCAATCGGGAGAGACCCTAAGTATTGGGAAGATGCGGAGAGATTTTACCCTGATAGATTCCTGAATAGTTCAATTGATTATAAGGGTGCGGATTTCGAGTTCATCCCATTTGGTGCTGGAAGAAGAATTTGTCCGGGAATTATATTTGGTACGGCTGTTGTTGAGCTGACTCTGGCACAATTGCTTTTCCATTTCGATTGGAAATTTCTTACTGATGAGATCAAACCAGAGGATTTAGACATGACTGAGGCCTTTGGATTAGACGTCAGAAGAAAAAAAAGTCTGAATTTAGTTCCCATTCCTTATCAAAACAATTTCTGCTAGATGGACCCCAACAAATAATTAAAGTGTTGTATTGTGTGCTCAACCGGCAATTTAAGTTTTGACATATCTATAGCTTAAATATCAAACATATATATATATATATATATATATACACACACACACACACACATATATGCATATATGGCCAGAGATTTTAAGCGATTTTCTATATGTAACATGTAGAGACAAAAGTCATGCCTGCTGTTTCATCTAATCAAACTCAATGAGGTCAAAGGACGCAATATACATTGTTTTTATTTTTATTTTTATTATTATTATTTATAATGTATGTAATTCCTTAATGGCCAACTATAACACTTTCATCATCAAATCCACATGATTCATATAATTCATTGTTTTTTCTTTTTCCTTTTTTTTTTTTTTTTTTTTTTTTTTTTTTTTTTTTCTTCTCATCGTAAAATTTATTTATTTATTTTTTATACTTCTAAACACTGACCAACTATAACACTTTCAACATCAAATTCAGTTTGCACCACAGATTCAAATCCAAAAAGAGATGGGCTTGACAGATAATTATATGCTTGTCATGTCTCTGAGTAGTATAAACCCAGGAAAGGGCTGTAAAGAAAACAGCTGCTTCTAAATCTCACAAATCTCCAGAAATCACACACCATATTTCAGAGAAATCTCGAGGATTTTATTACTTGCATAAGCAATTCACAGATACAAGAATCACAATAAGAATTACAAATTCAATTCACTTTCTCTCTCTATATCTCTGTGTTTCTCTATCTAAAACAGCAAATACATACTCTGATATAAAACGAATCTAAATCAATCCCTTTTATTAGTTTTACAAAATGCCCCCAAATTGCTCACCACTCAGATCATGCCATCTGGCACACTAAGTAACAACTTGGATTTTTCCTAACTAGTGGTTCTATTCTTACCAGAATATTGGAACCATTATTTACAACAATCTCTACCTTGGTTCAATATTCTTCTTTGTGTCTCAGCATCGCTTCTTCTCGAGCATTGATTCTCTGACCTTCATCAGTCCAAGCAATTCCAAACAATGATTGAACTTTGTTCCAAGAAGTGCTTTTGTCAACATGTCTGTAGGATTTCCCTCTGTTGTAATTTTCTGGACTGTCACTGAGCCTTCTGTTACAACATCCCAGATGAAATGGTATCTGATATCAACATTTTTGTTCTTTCATGGTTAACTTGGTTCCTTGTCAAACATATAGCACTTTGATTATTTCACAACACAGTTACTCTTCTAATCTCCTTCTGAATTAGCAACTCAGAAACCAGACCTTGAAGCCAAATTGCTTCCTTCACTGCTTCGGTTGCTGCTATATATTCGGCCTCAGTTGATGACAAAGCTACAACAGGTTGTAAATTTGACTTCCAACTTACAGTATTCCCATAGACTTTGAACACATACCTAATCAGAGACTTTCTTGTGTCTAAACTTCCTGCAAAATCCGAGTCTACATACCCTGCAACACCTCCTTTCTTACTTTGTTGTTTAGCATATCTGAGTCCATAATATGCCGTACCATGTAGATATCTCACCATCCATTTTGCTGCTTCCCAATGGTCCTTATCAGGATTAGCCATGAACCTACTTATTACACTTAAAGCATATGCTAAGTCTGGTCTACAACATGCCATTGAGTACATTATACTTCCCAAAACATTAGAATGAGAGATTTTCTCCATGTACTTTTTCTCCTCTTTTGTATCAGGACTTTATTGTACACATAGCCTAAAATGCTGTGCTAGTGGACTACTCACTGATTTGATTTGGCCATACTCATACCAAACCTCTCAAGAACTCTTTTTACATAAGTCCCTTGAAACAGAAACAATTCATTCCCTTTTCTATTCCTGAGAATTTCCATCCCAGGAATTCTTTTAGCAGGCCCTAGATCCTTCATCTCAAATTCTGATCTCAAAAGACTATTCAGATTTACAATCTTATCAGAATTTTCACTTGCTATTAACATGTCATCCACATACAAGAGCAAGTAAACAGGTTTAACTACTTCATGACCTTTGTAATAAACACAACAGTCATATCTACTCCTGGTAAATCCTATATTGAGCATAAACTCATCAAACCTCCTATACCACATTCTTGGAGACTGCTTCAAACCATACAAAGATTTCTTAAGGAGGCATACCTGATTTTCAGTTCCAGCTGCTATGAACCCTTCAGGCTGCTTCATGAAAATGGTTTCTTCCAGTTCCCCATGTAAGATGGTTGTTGATTAACGCTCAAAAGTGATGTTCACAAGCAGTCAATTGTAGCACAGAAGGGCGGTCGTTTCCACAGAGAGGTAAAAAAATAACAAGAAAGATTAGCAGAATAAGAACGTTAGAGAAAAATAAATAACAAGTGAATTAAAGAAAAAGGAGTTTTTGTAGACTTTATTACAAATAAAAAGGAGAGAAGATTTGTGTGAAGGAAATTCAGTAGTAAAAATAGTAAGGTGTCGAGAATCCCTAATGTTTCATTTACCAATTCAAGTTTTGATTCACAAAAATAAAAGGATCGAATAAATTAAATCTCTATGTTGACTCTGAAAATATTATTATTACAAGTTATCCAAAATCGACAATATATCAATTTAACAATATTACAGTAAAATACAATTTGCAAAATAATTTGAATAACAAAATAGTGCATGACATAATTACATAAGAAAAGCGAGACTGAACTCATAAAAATTAGCACACAATATTTTAAAAAATAAACGAAAGATAGATGAGATTTAATTCATTCAGATATTGTACTTTACAGCACAAGGAATCAAAAGCTCGAATTGGGTCACTCAATAAAAGTTTATTTTTTACCTCACCAAAATAACTTTAGCCTAGCTTGCAAAACATTCTCACAAGTTCTAGAGAGAAAATATGAGATTGAGAGCAAGACGATAAAAAATTGAATATTAAAAGCTTCCAAAAACCTTAGGCTAACCCCCTATTTGTAGTGTTTAGAAGTTGCCCGTCAAATAAGGAAACAAATAATTAAAAATAGAAAATAACAAAAGAAAAGAAAACAAAATAAAATTACACATAAATTAGGATAAATCAGATATATGATTTGAGGAGAAAATCGGGCAATTTGCTCTGATTTTGGGGAAGAAATTCGGGCTTAGCACATTAAGGAGACACATGTCGCAATGTAATTGGCAAGAGGGAGTCAGCTCGCCACGTGTCGCGATCAGAATATTTGGCGTGTGCTGGCGTGGGTCAGAGAGCAGGACAGCTGGCGCGCGCGGAGAGGAAAAGCAGGCTAGCGTGAGCAGGTGTGGGGTCCGCGTTGGATAGCTGGCACAGAAAGAGTGGGCGGTCAGCTGGACTGAGCAGGTGTGGGACCCACGCAAGACCGGGATGGAACGCGCTGATGATTGCGCGTGAATGGGACGCGCTTTGGTGGCTAAGCTGTGCTGGTGACGCGCGTGAGGAAAGCTGGGGAAATGCAGGAGAGCTGGGGTGGTCGGGCCCACAGTGCTGATGCGACTTGGCCGGCTCAGCTGGCTCGGCGCGGCTCTCCCTCTCTCTGATTGGCTTGTTTGGCTTGGCTGAAAAGCTTGGCTCAGTTGGAGGATTTCTTCTATGGCTTTTCTTGTGTAGCTTTTTACACTACTTTTCATCTGAAAATAATTAAACAAAAACTAGACAAATTCTAATTAAAAATATTCCGAATAAAAATAATGGAATTGTTTAACTAAAGCTTAAATATTTTAATATTATATAAATAAAAAACAGTTTTTAGGTGCATTTTCATGCACTTATCAGTTGTTTTACATCATTTGCTCTAATTCCATTAAACTGTGTCACCTAAGCCAGCAAGGTCCATATTGAGCTATGTTTTACTACAGGTGAGAGTATTTCAACACAATCTACACCTTGCCTTTGAGTAAACCCCTGAGCGACCAACATTGCTTCATACCTAGCCTTTTCAACCGCAGGTATTCCACTTTTCTTCTTAAAGATCCACTTACCGCCAACTAATTTCTAATTTTGGGGCCTGTCCACTAGAATCCAAGTTCCATTCTTCTTTAAAGAGTCCATTTCCTCCTACATAGCATCTTGGCAATGCTTGTTGTTCTTACCTGTCACAGCTTCAGTGTAACTCACGGGCTCTTCTTCAGTATCCAACTCCAAACCTACTGTCAGAACAAAAGAATTAAGGTCTGATTGACCATATCTCTAAGGTGCTTTGTGTTGTCTCCTAACCATGTCTCTGGCCAATCTATAATCTTCAGTTACAGTTTATTCTTGAGTATGCTCCACCTCCTGATCTTCTTCACCCAATTGACTTTGGTCATCTCTCTGATCAGTTTCATTTCTAGGGTTCCCTTCAAGCTCTATAACTCCATCTACTTTAACCAGGTTTGCCATCTGTTGCTCATTAAACTAAACGTCCCTGCTTATCAGGAATTTCCTTTGATTTGGCTCTAAACACCACAGCTTGTACCATTTTACTCCCTCGAGGTAGCCAATAAAAACACACTTTAGTGCCCTAGGCTCCAGCTTATCTTGCTTGATGTGTGCATATGCAATGCAACCAAAAGTTCTCAACCTACTGAAATTTGCAGGTTTGCCACTCCAAACTTCTTGAGGGGTTTTGAATCCTAATGCTGTAGAGGGGCACCTATTAATCAAATAGGCAGTAGTTGACACTACTACTCCCCAAAATGTCTTAGGAAATCAAGCATTATTGAGCATGCATCCCTTTCAAGTAAAGTTCTATTGTACCTCTCTGTGTGTCCATTCTTCTGAGGTGTCTTCCTCACTGTGAAGTGCCTTACTATGCCAACTTCCTTGCAATATTGAGTGAACAGGTCTACACAAAACTCTAGACCATTGTCAGTCCTGAGTTTCTTCACTTTCTTCCCTATTTGTGTCTCAACAAGAGCCTTCCATTCCTTGAAATGTTGGAAAGCATCATTCTTATTTCTCAGCCGAAATACCCACACCTTCCTCGAGAAATCATCGACTATGGACAGAAAATACCTTGACCACTATGAGATACTGTAATGTCCAGGAAAAATCTAAAAATTAATAAGTAGAATTAATTAAGGATTTTTCATAATTACGTTGATAAATTCATAAGAAATTATAAGTACAGAGCTTATAATATTAAGCTTCGGCATTAGTTACGAGAAATGATTATGAGAGAGAGAGAATGGAAAATACAGAAAAGCTAAGTTTAGACTATTGAGTCTAAAAATAGTTAAAAGATGTGAAACAATCCAATTTAGTATACAATTAAGAATATAAAATG